CGTTCTCGATCGATGGTATGGTATGGTATGGCATGCCTTTGGTGGTATCAAACTCAACGACCTGGCAGGAGCCCCGAAGCCGCACTTTCTAAAGGCCTTCGCCGGTTTTACAGGCTTGTCTATACTACGAGAACACGAACGTCCTGGCAGGACGTTCAAACCAAGTATCTCTTTCTCTTATTATACATACAAATGTCTATATACGTATTACGTATACGTGTGATACATACTTTACCTAGAAATGACGCTTCTAATATTCATTTATGTATCTACGTGCATATATTATATTTTATATATAGCTGGGATTGCATGTATGTATAATATATGTGATTGATGTTTTAAACATGGGTAAAGATTTCCAAACATTTAATAAAAAATATTTATGGATTGGCCTAAAAGTTTTTACCTCTGATTTTTTACTAATTAATTATATTTGGAATTCTTTTTGGTTTCCTTTTTTTTCTTTTTTTGGTTAAATTTATGTTTTAAATCGTACAATATATCTAGGCTCCATAATAATTTTATGTTAGTATGTGGGAAAAATATAATTATTATAGTACAAATGTTATATAATAGGAGTAATTAATGTTTTAAAATCGTTTGGAGAACCTTTCACCTATCTCGTACGTGTGATAAATGTTTAACGTGTAGAGGTGACATTATTAAAAATATTTCTTTCGCGTATGTGTTGCGTATGATAGGTGTTTTACGAACAGGAAACATTTATAAAAATGTGTGTGACTGTAAGTTAGTAACGCGAATGTAACATACGTGGAAACACGAAGTATTCAACCTCTCTCTTTCTATTTTCCGTTAACCAAAGATACCTGCACTTTCGTCCTATGCCGGAAGATACTTCGGTTCGAATATGTGAAAGGATGAAATCTCAATCTCGTCCTGCGAATCCTAACTGTAATTTCGAACAAAGTTAACAAGAGAAATAGAAAGCAAAAACGTCGTTAATTTTGTCGAAGAACGAATTCACCAAGCGAATTTTCTAGTTTATTTTTTTTATTCTTTCAACAATAGTTTTATTGTGCCAATCATTTTCTACGAATGAAATCTAATAAATGACAAATAGGATATTAAATACTTGAACGATGATCAGAAATATTGGATATATATTTAATTTAACATTGTTTCCAACGCAATCGTCCATGGAAATGATTAGAAATATCAGATCTCTTTTTTTCTTCTTTTTTTTTTACGAAGTATGTCAAGCATACTTTGTATGTGAGAATATATTTGCAAGATATTATATACGATACTTAAAAGATTCTTTCCATTATCAACTTTCTTCGATATAATCGTAAAATAGAAATGACATTTGATTAAAATTCAAGCTCTCCTTGACTCGAAATACGCATGAAACTAATATAAGCAAAAATATTCAAAAGAAAAAAAAACAATTTCTAAATTGATGAAATTTATTCAGTATGATTAGATTATTTGATGAATAAAAATCTCTCGAGAGATTCATCTCGTTCGTTCCAACGATCTATCGAAGAATCTATTTATTTATAGAATAAGGAAGAATTTATTAATTTCGTTGGAAAAAGAATTGAAACTTTTGTCCCGTTTCGATTTGGTCAAAGTGTTCCTTGGTCAACGAAACTCTTTAAGAGTTGCATAGACACGCGTGTGCTTCAATTCTAGAAGGTGAAAGTGATTTAGACAGCACGTTTGTTCGTGCGTTGCGACACGTTTATAAAAGGAACGTTCTTTTCGTTCGAAGGAAAGAAAGAAAGAAAGAAAGAGAGTAAAAAATATTCCAAGTCATTTGCAAAGATGCACTTTTACAAAACGTGACACTGACAAAAGAGAACAGGTAAGGAAGAAGAACGAACAAGTAAAGTAAAACGAAAGAATAGGAAAAAAGGAAGAATGAGATGATAAAAGAAAAGGATAACTTTTAAAGAAGAGATAAATTTGAACGTCCATACACCTTGTGAAATATTTATGTGTTGAAAGAGAAACGCGGAAGAGAGAATAGCCAACTTGGGATCATCTGCCTCATTTTATTATGGCCCATCCTAAATAGATTTTTATCGATATCGGCTACTGATTTATACTTCAAAAATAACGTGAAACTACTCTTCGTCGAACTTAATCGGAAATTTACTTGTTCTATAATTTAATCATTTTTTTATTTTATTTTATTTTATTTTATTTAAATGTGCCAATATATATTTTTTCTCTATAAAAATCATGTCAAAAAAAGGAAGAAAACATAATGCTAATATAACGATTTCAAATATTTTCATTATACTATAACATCTTCGTCTTGTTAATTGTGCGTGTAAAGTGTATTCTATTATTCTACGAATTTGTATAATGAATAGTATAATTAACAGCATTTATCTTCTTACACAATGTGACTCAAATAATAAAAAAAAGGAAAATTTAAAGAAAGAAATGTTGCATTCACACAGTGATATTGCTGAAATAAAACTTAAATAAATATTGTTATCTCTCGAATGATCGTGTAAAACCGAGTAGCGACGAAGAGTACCTTCTCGAATGCAAAGGATTAATACGCGGTCATATTCTATTCGTATGTATGTATATCAGAGAATTGTTTTCAAATATATTAACATATACGTACACATATATTATAAATAATAGGATCCGTAGTATAGTATAACACAACCTGTTCGCATTTTCCTCTTTTACTATACCTTTTTCTTTCAGAATCAGTATCTTTCTATATATAAGAAGAAGGAATGGGTAGGGAAGCAAGCAAGCAGCCAACCAACCAACCAACCAACCAACAAGCCAACCAGCTAACCAAGCAGGCAGACGACGTCGTTATAGCGAAGATTAAAACGTCAGGTACACGCAAGCATAGTTGGAGTTTCATCGAGCTTAGAGAAGAATTCTGATCGTCCTTGCTACGAATCACGAAATACTTAAAGTCCTTCTCCCTTTGATCCCTCCCTTCTTCCCTATCCGCCCTTTCCTTTCATTTTTTTCTATTTCTTTTTCTAACAATCGTAAAAATGCATGGGGTGAAACTTGAAGATTCGTGCAAGGATACAAAAGATACGAAGTCGAAGATCGCGGCCTTTTGAACGAATGAATGCGCGCGTGCATACGAGCACCCACACAAGAAGAAGAATAAGAATAAGAATAAGAAAAGTGGCAATGTAATAACGAAACAATCGTCGTGTGCAACCTAGCGTAGCACTTTGCTCCTCTTTTTTCTATCCTATTCGAAATAAACGTTTAAAAAGGGATCAAAAAGGAGGGTGAATTACTCCTCTGGCACGTGCTATTTAAATATCTACTTATCTTTATTAAACTAGTTTTGCAAATATTTATCTTTTTCTTTTTTTCTCCATACTTTAGTAGACTTTTTTTAAACGATCATCTTTTTAGCTGAGGATTAATAAATATTTTCTAATATTTTGTAGAATTATAAATAATATAGGAAAAATCGAATATATTTCAATCAGAAAATAATTCCAACATTTACGTCTATGTTTTAACGATCCTATAAATATGTGCATCTTTTAACGAACGCTTGTATCGTCTAATTGCCTTTGTACTATCCATCCAGGTGACGTCTATTGTTAATTTAATGTCTCTTTTCCGATGTTCATTGATTATATATATATGCACAATCGATCATTCGTATTTGTACAATCACAATTATTACTAAGTTTGTATTATTATTAAAACAAAATATTAGTTATTGAATTTACAAAATAAAAAAACATGTTAAAATCAAAACTATCTTTTAACTCGATTAATATAAAAATAAATATCAATAATTATAAGTTTAATAATCGAATTATCGTACATCTTCAATATTTGCGATAAATTTCGATTCGATTTTGATAGAATGGTATGTTTATATAGATAGAAAATTCCCGATATGGTTTAAGAAATTCGATCAAAAAAAAAACAATATGAATAATAAATTGAAAGAACGATTTAATCAAGATTGGCCATAGAGTTTATTACATAATCCCTATATATATACTATAATCCAAAAGGTATATACTACACCTATGTATACATAAAACCATTTCGACTAAAATTGTTCTCGATAAAGACAATATTAAATTTATACACATATTTCTGTTTAACAAATAAAAATACGAAAATAAAATCTAAAAGAAGAAAAAAAATGTGTAATTGTAGAGAATAAAAAGATAAATAATACGTATGTATAAATTAGTGATTTGTCGAAGGGGAACGATCACCATAACGGTTCTAATTGCGTCCCTGACCAACAAGAGCGGATCCTGTATCAATTACTTGTTCTAACCGCAATATGACCTATTATTGCAAACTTGCTACGAGTTTGCCGACTGTTAAAACTCGTACTTTCTTTTACTGACAGTTATATTTAATCGCGCGCGTGTTATATATTGATTAGAATTAAAAAGAATTTATTTTATCGCTTTCTTTCAACGCCATTTTTCTAATTGCCAACAAAATCACTGAGACTGATCGGTAAAGCGTATATTTTGATTTTTATATCGAATTAACCATCTCTTATAAATTTAAAACCACGTATTCGTATGCATGAATGAGCTGAAAAGTTTTTAACCTAATATAAAATTAAATTAATGTATTAAGATAAAAGAGATTTCGTCTCGTGCGTCGATATTTGTTTTTCTTTTCCGGTTTTATATTTTTTTACCAAACAAATATTTATATCTTCCAAGAAATTTCTCGTTATACGGATTATCTGGAAAAAAAAGATACATCGAACGGGAATTCCTACATTTATCATTTTCGAACCGGTATATACATACACGTTGTATCGATTCGAAGTACCGTTCAAACGAATACCACTTTCGCGCCTTTGACATGCCTTTCGTTTCGTCCTATCGCGCTACTAGTATTTTACATTAACTTCCTATGCACGCAATAAATCTTTTATCTTCTATTCTAACGTTAAAACGACTAAATCTTTGACATGCGATAATAATAACAACACAACGAAAAAAACGTATAAATTGCAATATAATTAAAATGAAAAAACTCACCCTTGTGTCTGCGCCATTGTTTGTAAAGTACCACTGCAACGGCAGATAAAATGATGGTCGTTAAAAATGTCCCAATCACGGCACCAGCCACGCTTCCTGTACCAAAACAGGAGGAGGCATTATTATCCTGCGATCCGATGTCCTCCATGACCTTTTCTCTCCTTCTCTCTCCCTCTCTTTCCTCCTTCTCACCTCCTCTTCTTCCTTCTTCTTCGTCTCTTCTCGCGAAAGTACGCGAATCAGAATTTTCCCGCGTACATATCTAACAACACAAACACCAAACAACTGTCCTGCTAACTTTAAGAGATTCACGATCTGTTCTTCTACTTTTTTCGATTATTCACTCATTTGTTTATTATTATTTATACGTTTTTATTTTTTGGAATTCAATTATGCTTTAAAAACCGATCGTAAAAAGTCATTAAAAACCGATGATCGCGTAAGAGAACATAACACAACTATATGTTCTTTATCTCGTTTTATTTCTCACACTCCGTAGATTATTGAAAAAGGAAGGACGTTTCAACGTGATACGTAAATAAACACCATACGCTTGCAAGGACGACGCGCGTCGTACTGACTGAAGCGAGCTACGAAGTAAGTAAAACAGGTAGGTACGCAACAGGTGCTTCTGACTCCCGATTGGTGGGGGCGCTCGGAATCCATTGGTGGGGATGACTAATGCGAGATGGATCGAGCGAATGAGCAAACGAGAGAGAGAGAACGGCAATAGTACGAGAGAGATAAACAGAGGGAAATGTAGCGTGGTGCTCCTTCCTTTACATCCACACGAGAAACAGCTTCCCGAGTAAGTAGCTACGCGAACCTGCTTCGTTCTCCTCCTCTTCCTCCTCTCGACAAAAGCTCCTTTCCACGTATATGTTCGCAAACCTGCCCTTTTTTTTCTCCCTCTATCTCTTACTATCCTAAAGAAGAATACATATAGCCATAGTCTTTAAAGGATAAATAAATAGATGTGACATGCTCGCGACGAGTAGAAAGATACGATGTTTGTTTTGATCTCGCATAGGACACTGGCTCTTTACATTTCTCGAAATAATTGTTAAGATTTCAATGTTAAAAATGTAAATAATAACGTGTATGCGCCTATATTGCATTTACATGCATATTTTCATCGAATTTTTTTTATTTTCTCTTCTGTTCTTTTCTTTTTGCGTAAGTGGCAAGGTTCGAGCTGCAATAATGCGAATCAACTCATCGTTTGAATAACCGGTCTTATCGCGATGCCATATCGTAGTAAATATATATATATATATATATATATGTATATGTGTATGTACGCGTTCTACTAGGAATGGCACGCGTATTACCTGCCTACCCGTTTTGTATTTTCAATGAGCGCGAAACTTTCTTACTTCGTCGTCTCTCTCAATGAATTCCCTGTTACGTTGTCGCGATCGGGTTAAATCGAATGAATACTTTACGTTAAAATGTGGAATTTCGTATGTTCTCTCAATGCGTATATAACGAGTAAATATATGTTTCCCCTTTTTTTCCGTATCTTGCGTCCAACGTGGTTTAGTAGGTTTCAAATATGTATTTGTATGCGTATATATGTATATGTTAAAATGAATTTTTCGGTTGAACAGAAACGGTATGCAGGAAAGATAAAAATGAAGGGAACGGAGAAGAGGCATCTTGGTCGTGTCAGGAATGCAGGCGGTATGTGTTGCGTCCATTATTTCCCTCTCCCCGTAATCATCCCTTCTTCTTTTTTTTCTTCGTTTTCTTTTTCTTCTTTACCCACAAATCTTCTGTTTGTGTTCGACCATATATAGAGAAAATTGGATATATGCACTTCTTCCACTCGAAATATTCGTTCGTTGTTCTACATACACGCGTACTGTCGATGTCCTCTTTATCTTTATTATTTTTTCTTCCTCTTCTTCTGTTCTTTATATTCTTTTATTTTTTTAAATTATTTTTTATATAATTGTAACAAATTACATGTAATTTTTCAGTCATCTTTACGACGTAGTTCAATTTATACTTCTGCTAATCTCCAATGGCTATGCTTCAATACAAACTCTAGACTTTTGCGGTTAAAATCAGGATTGTAGTTTTAAATTATGTTCGTCAAACGATCCTGCTATACGATTGATTACCTTACATGCACCGTTCCACACGTTTGCGTATGCTCGATATTTAAACCGACTTTTCCGTTTTCTTTCTTTTCCTTTTTCTTTTTATGGTACAAACATGGCGACGATCTATAAAATTGAAAAATGTTTTCATGAAGAAATTGATTATATAATTTAAATATCTTCTTTATATAAATAATACGCATAATGTTTATCTTATGAATGTAATTATTAAATATTCTTCTGCAATTTATAGATCATCGTATGCATTATCGATTCGTCTTACAAATATCAAGCTGGATTTTCTATATAATATATTTATTAACAATATAAAAATATTTTCTTCTGCAATAAAAAATTGTTTATCGGACGAGTTGTATTGCATCGATCTAAATAAATAAAAATTGGATAGGGGTTGCGTATTTTTTCTAACTCATACAAAAAATTCGACTAATAAGCGATTAGTTTAAAAATCGATATAGACATCATTTAAGAATGCATCCACGGCAGCTGTTGTCGCCTCAATAGCGTGGCTGCTGAAATTGCATTGGCTACTTGATTCTAACAATGTCACGTGTCTGTTCGCTGATTGATCGGTGCGTGGTCCAATCAATGACGATCATTTTAGTTGCACATACTTCTTCGTAATATGAGAATCAGATTTAAAGGGAGTAAGATACCGGTCTTGTGAATTAACCATAGACAAATTTGTGAGCTGAATCTTTCATACCAACCGTGAACTTTCTCGATTGTTATAATTAATCAGTGAAACAACGAAAATAAAATTAATTTTTGACGTTTAATTACATTTTAAACAAACTTCAATTTAATTTTAACCTCAAAATATCTCAAATAAAAAACAAAAGTACCGCGTGAAAACGTTACTCGACATTTTCACGAGAATATTTCTTGCGGGCTTGCTCATAAGCTTCGTGTAAATTTAATAGACACAAAAAACATAACTACTTCATCCAAAATGACTGGAATTTCAGCGGGTGGTGATGGAAGAAGTGCTCATGGACAAGCTTATAAGGATAAAAGTAAACCTGCTGACATTCGTAGCAGTAATATCAACGCTGCGAAAGGTAATTGTAAATTTTTTTAATGTTTTAATACACGTGCGTCTACTCCGATTAATCAAGATCAGAAAAACTCCTTATATAGTAATGTCTCACTAAGATTCATCGTCTCTTATTATAATAATGATAATTCACAATATTTTCAATTATTTTTAACTTAAACAAGCAATTGTAATATTCGATTACGTATTTCATAAGAATTGTAAATTTTAATTCCAAATAAACTGACAAATTTGAACTTTCAGCTGTAAGCGATGCCATCCGCACTAGTCTGGGTCCTCGTGGAATGGATAAGATGGTAATATTTATATGGAAGCTATTCACAAGTCAAAGAAATTGTGTTAATGATGAATGATTAAAGCCATTTAACATGTTAATATTATTATTAATTAAATTCTTACTAATACGCACAGATTCAAGCGGGCAATGGTGAAGTAACAATTACAAATGACGGAGCTACTATCTTGAAGGAAATGAACGTTATCCACCCTGCTGCTAAAATGCTTGTTGAATTATCCAAAGCACAAGACATTGAAGCAGGCGATGGAACTACGAGCGTTGTTGTAGTTGCTGGTTCCATATTAGAAGCTGCAGAACGTTTATTACAGAAGGGAATTCATCCTACACTTATAAGCGATGCTTTTCAAAAGGCTGCTTCTAAAGCAGTCGAAATACTTACAAATATGTCTATACCAGTTGATCTAGCGGATAAAGAAATGCTTGTTAAAGCTGCTGCGACATCTCTTAATTCTAAGGTGACTTATGAAATATAATATTGATCTAAGATCTATTGATTTGAAATTTTTAAATTATTTTCTTTTTTTGCTGCATTTTTTTAGGTTGTATTTCAACAATCAAGTTTATTGGCACCATTAGCAGTGAATGCAGTATTAAAAGTTACAGAACCAGGAAACGAACAGGCTGTAGATTTAAATGTAAAGTATCGATTATCACTTTGATTATTTATTTTATACATTTATACTTAATTTAAATTCAATCTGTAGGATATCAAAGTTATTAAAAAATTAGGTGGTATCGTTGAAGATACAGAATTAATTGAAGGGTTGATATTTACACAAAAATCGTGTAATGTAAATGGGCCGAAACGCATCGAGAAGGCTAAAATTGGTTTGATTCAATTTTGTATTTCTCCACCTAAAACAGATGTAAGTTTTATTGATTGAGAAATATGTTGTTTGAAATTGTAAGAAATTATACATTAACGAAACATTTTCAGATGGATCACAATGTTATTGTGTCAGATTATTCTGCAATGGACAGAGTTTTAAAGGAAGAACGTGCTTATATATTAAATATCATTAAACAAATTAAAAAATCTGGATGCAACGTATTATTGGTTCAGAAATCTATTTTACGTGATGCAATTAGCGATCTTGCTATTCATTTCTTAGATAAACTCAAAGTTATGGTAATCAAAGATATCGAACGTGAGGATATTCCGTTTGTATGTAAAACTTTGGGATGCAGGCCAATCGCATCTTTGGATCATTTTGTTGCTGAAAATCTTGTTAATGCAGAATTGTGCGAAGAAGTACAAACAGGAAATTCTAAGTTTGTTAAGGTTGGTGTAGTATTTTAAAATGCATATATGCAGTAAAATAATGTTGAATTAATTACTAATCGTATCTTTAATTATTCAGATCACTGGTATTCAAAATTATGGTCGTACTGTTACTGTACTGGTACGCGGAAGTAACAAGTTGGTTTTGGAAGAAGCTGAGCGCTCTTTACATGATGCGTTATGTGTTATTCGGTGTTTAGTCAAACAGAAAGCAATGATTGCTGGAGGTGGAGCACCTGAAATTGAACTTGCGTTGAAATTAGCAAATTACGCTCAAACGTTAGGTGGAGTCGACGCATATTGCATTCGAGCTTTTGCAAATGCACTGGAAGTAAGTGTTAAGCATTTCTATGATGATAATTGGATCATGTACATTAGATTAAATTTAATATTATATCAATTCCAGATTATTCCATCTACGTTAGCAGAAAATGCAGGCTTGAATTCAATCGCGACTGTTACTGAATTACGAAATAAACACGCTGAAGGTGAAATAACAACTGGAATTAATGTTCGCAAAGGAGCTATTACAAATATCTTGGAAGAAAATGTACTTCAGCCACTTTTAGTTTCAACCAGCGCTATTACTCTTGCTTCTGAAACTGTACGCAGTATACTCAAGATAGACGATATTGTTAATACAAATCAATAAGAGCCACTTTAAAAAAATATCAACTAATAATACATTTAAATAATATGGTAAGTTATTAATATCCCTAAATTTATATCAAATATTATTATATACACTTCTTACAGATTTTTACGCTTTCATTGCAATTGTATTATTTATACGAAGTTCCACTGGGCTAATTATCATAAAACTTTAGTTGCATTAATGTTTGAATAGCCTTTTGTACTATTCAATGATTTTATAACAGAAACTTAAATTAATAAATGAATTCTTGATAACATTTTTTTTTGAACAACTCATTTTCTAGCTATAGTTTCTGTAACAATAGGACATACAAATATATTTGTAATGACTATAATTGTCTTCTCGATTTAGCTTAAGTCCTCCTATTCCGTATGAATGACCGACCGATCCATATAGAGATCATATATTATTCAATCATATCGTGTATACGAGTAAATTTATATGGAAGGGATACTCGAGTACACGCGAACAATTGCAGTTATGATAAAAATGTGTTTTCTTTTTTTTTATTATTATATATTTGTACAATTTCTCAAAACATATATAACATATTTCGTGTTACATTTTTTTTTTTCATTCAGCATTATCAATACATCTTCATACCAAATTCGGTGCATTCATATAAAACGTGTAAAGTAATAAACTTTTCGTATTATTTGAGACTTATCCATTTAACTATTTTTTTCTTTTCTTTTTTATTTAGACCATAATTGAAGGATTTATTCGTAAGATTTGCCACAGCTATAAATAGTAATTACTATTTCAATGTAATATACAGAAGTATATTCTGAATAACAATATTTAATGATAGTAATAAAAATAGTAATAAGTTAGCTGTGTACGTGTCTGTGTATATGTGTCTGTGCATATATGATCACAATGATTAATTTATCAAGTATAATTCAAGCTTGATTTATACATAATATCTAAAGATAAGCATTATATTTATTAAGTACAAAGGAAGATTAGTTAAATAGAATAAATTTGTTTGCTTGCACGAAATTTCTTGTTTATATAACTTATCTCCTGCTCTGATTAAAAATATAAATTATAATAATTAATGTAACTTTATGCAATTCACTGCAATATCATCAATGCTTATCAATTTTATTGAGGAATGTTGAATTAATTTTTTAAATATATAAATAGCAAAGTTCTGCGTGCTATGTCTTCATAGAAATGTTAGTTGCAATATTAAAATGCTATATTATTGGAATGTGTATTTCTAATTATTAAATCTGAAATATTCATTACACCTGACTTAGGCTGTTGTATACTGTAATAGATATATCAAAAAATGATTATTATATAGTAGTGAAAGTCATGAATAACAAAATGTCTTCTTCTTCGTGTATATATGATTGCACATTTAATATCACAAAGTACAAAAATTATATTGACCGCGAGCGTGCATATTTAATTATCAAAAAATAAATTATTCTGATCAAATGACAACATTTTTTTCATCGAGAAAATGTTATTGACATTTTGGCAAGTTATATCAAAAGTACGATAATTACTACCCAATTAAATATTGCCCATAAATTTAGAGATTTTTTTAAATTACTTTAATATATTTTAATTAGAAAATATTTGTTCGTGATTAATATGAAAATGACATACAAAACGATCGAGAAATTCATTTGTTAGGAAAATTAGAACGCACAAAAATGCATCGATAATAATGCAAGTAATTGAATGATGTAAAAATGATCAAAAGAGTGGAAGCTCTCTTTTATATTGTCATTCATACTGAAATATATCAATTTTTTATTATATATTAATTTGAAATAATTTTGATATAAATTTTACACTTTTAACTATAGTGTTTTTTAGAATCATAAATTTAATAAGAATATATTTAATATTATTGTAAATGATTAGTCGTGTTAGTATAAAGATAATGTTCATAGTGGAACATTTCATTCATTAAGAGCATAAAATCGCCACTGTAGGAAGGAACAATTGCCCAAAATTACATATACATACTTATAAAGAGCAGTCTCATTTAAGTAATCTAGTTTTTCCAAAATGGACAAAAATAATAAATTAGAATATTCAATTATACGGATTTGTAAAGTGTCTTTTTGTAATTTGTCCATTTGTGTAAAAACGTGACAAAAATTTGAACTATAAAATAGAAGACTGAACTTTACAGCACCTTATTGTCTGTTGTCTCTTAGCATACCATTTCCATAGTTTATGTGCTTTGTGAATTATACTAAATGATTTCACAAAGAATTATTTTTCCTTTTAGATATATATATATATATATATATATATCGCTACTTAATTTGACAATTAATTAGCAATTAATCACGTTTTCATTTATCTGTAGCAGGTCAAATAAGATTCGTGTAAAACATCCCTGAAATTATTATGAATCATATTACAAATAAAATTTCTTTTTAAATAATTTTCATATTCATATTAAGAGTTAAATATTACATACCATAAAAAATTCATATTTAAATACATTCACCAATGTGGATCAATTTCGTGGAAGGACCATTGTTGATACGTGTTATTCACATCACAGGGCATTAACGACAGCTGTTGAGTTTGAGGATGAAGTGCCATACATTTTTTATGAACTCGATGTAACAAAGTTTTAGTTTTCTAAAATTATTCACAAATTAATAAATTATAAAAAGAATAATTCAACGTTGGATATCTGTAAATGATATTATACTTCGTCATATTGCCAGGGTCCATCAACTGTACCCAAACGACAAAATGCTAATTTGACTCCATGCCCATCAGCTTCGATACAACGTTCACCAACACCTAGCTGACCTTTTGAATTTAATCTAATCAGCTAAAAATAAATATCACTGTTAAATATTCAATCAGCTACCAAGATATGATGAAACATATGTGCACAAGATTACTTGATTATTTCCATAATTATGACAATATGAAGTAGCCATAAGACTCGGAGGTGCATGTCCCATGGTATCCAAACATGCTCCAGTTGCTCCATTTCTTAACTGCATACAATTACATTATTTATTACGTAGAATTGAAGAATAATATTTGAATACAAAGATCATTCAGAAGTACCTCTCCCCAATGCATATTTGGTGGCAATTCTGGAAATTTATCTAAAACGTCGTAAGCTACATTGTCCATGTACCATTGGAAACTTTTACACTTCTTTCGTTCCTTAAAAAGTAATTGTTCCGTTATGTCACCGTGATTGAGTAATCTTGCGAGCGGTTCTCTGGTATAAAAGAATTCTTTGTGCTTCTCATCAAACCAAGTTTCAATCACTCTTTTATAGTTCTGTAAAATTCAAATTAGAGATTAACTTTAATTAAATAATCATGTATAATAAAATAGAATAGTTTGTTTAAATAATTGTATGCATATTTACAATAGTGATCAACGGTCCTTTCTTCTTTTGAGCGAGTTTGCCAAATGTATAAGGCATAAAACCTCTGTACACGTGTCCAACATGCGAGCAAGGTACCCAAAGAATACTCCCACCACATTGCCAAATTTTAAAAGACAATTCAAAGTTTTCTCCACCCCATACAAGTAATCCTTCATCGTAACCACCCAACGATAAAAAGTATTGACGATTTATTGCAAATAAACCACCAGCATGAGTAGGAGATCTAAATTCAAATAATGATATAGATTAATATTTAAAAAAGAAATATAATAATAATAAATTTATTACTGTAATAAATGATATACTTGTAAGGCATGCTGTCGTGCGCTCGAGTTTTAGCTTCTCTCCTAGGTAATTCATTTTCTTTGTACAACATTCCCCATTCAAAAATTCCTCTATACAAGTGTCCTGCTTGATATACTGGTCGATATGCAAAATTTTTATGATCAATACCATCGATCACAGGAACTGTCATTACATTGCTATAATATTTAAATTATATAAAAAAAATTCTCTACACAATTAATATATATGAATTTTGTATATTTAAATATTAGATGGTACCTATTCATTGCAATTGGAGCTAAAAGCGGCGGTAACCAGTTAACATTAACTTCACAATGAGCATCCAAGAAGACGATAACTTCACCCTTAGCTTCTCGTGCACCTCTCGATCTTGTTCTTATCAATCCTTGCCTTTCAGAATTTCTAATTAATCTCACTTTACCTCCCCATTGTTCGATATAAGATTCTAGATCACCCTTCAAATTTTCTATAAAAAAAATAGATAATTGTAAATACCATTAGTGAATGTGTTAAAAAATAAAATATACCTTTATCAGAGTAGTCATCAACAAGAAGAATTTCTTCCAAGAATTTGGATGGCGTTCTATTCATTACGCTATGTACAGTTCTCATTAATACAGACCAACCTTCGTTATGAAATACTATAATAACGCTTGTTCTCGGTAAATCAACTGGATAATTCCAATGTTTGCATCTAAAAAAATGTCAGTTAATATGAAATAAAATTGAAATACAAGAAGATACGCTGTGAAATTGGAAATCAAACTTACTCGGGTGGTCTAGTGTCAGGAATTGATCTATCTAAGGAAATTTCATCAGAGCATACCATATTCATACCATAATCGGATTCAGATTGTTGAACGTCGTTTTGTTGATCATCTCTTAAAATGTGTGCTTTACCATCTTCTCCAGGACCTACTTTTGGTTGTACATTTCTCGGCTCAAAGTTACCTAAATCTTCCACTAATCCTGGAGCCTGTAATTCAACATTTTTCCCTTAATTTATATAATTAAATTAAATATTATATTTAATTTACCTGTTTGGTTGCTAGTTGTTCCGACCAATATACTTTAATATTATGAACTTGATTGTCAGAGAAGAAAGAAACAATTGTATAAAAAATAATTAACACCAATATCCCTCCAATTACAATATTAAATAAACGATGTCTTCTTAACTGTACAATTCTCATTTTCACATATATATATTTTTTCTATAAACAAATAAACATATCGTATTAGTAAATAGAACATAAAATAATATTATCATATTTCATACAAAAATATGACACTAAAATACTACTAAAAATAATCATAAAAAAAATACTATAGAGATAACGTCTATAAAAAATTGACATTTTAATAATAAAATTAGGATTCAATAATATAAATAAAAAAGAGACACGTACATCTTTTCTCAATGAAGAAAAATATAATTTGTAAGGAATGTGTGTTATATATATTTCACTATGTGTGTGTGTGTGTATGTATATCTACAATTACTGTAATGTTCACATTAAAATTACACTTGTACAAACATATACATTGTTTATAAATTAAGAATGATATGTCTATACTAGTTAGAACATAAGAGCCAACGTGTCTATCACGCGGGACGAGAAAATAGGAACAAGGCTATAGAGTAGGAACATCCAGTTATTTTAAACTGCATTCCTAACGAAGTAACATTGTACAGTTACGATCGTCCTTTTGCATCGTTTTAGGAAAAAATAATGGCGCCAAGATTATCACGATTTTCCTAAAGAAACTGAAAGTAGATTGGTGACTATTTCAAACTAGACCAATTAAATGATACCTTTGAAAAGAAATGTAATTAATTCTTCGATTACTATTTTGTAATATTTTATTATTTTTTACTTATAATCTTTAATATTAAATTTAAGAAATAGTTTACGCGTAAATTTGATTTGAAGATTAAAAAGAACGATCATTGTAATCTTTCGATAATCGAAATATATCGAAGAGTATGAAACATAGGGTCGAGTGTAATTATAAGGTTAACTGTATGCACTTCCATAAATCGCCGCTAGAGAATGCAATATCGATATTCGTATTGCATGTGCTATTAGTTAAGTTTGATTTGAACTACGTGTTTTTTATATTTTAAAAGGATTGTTTAGCAAATTAATACAATGGTTTGTAATAATAATGCATCATTAATATTTATATTTTATTTCATAATTTTTGAAACGTTTTCTTCTATTGTATATTAATATAGATATTACTAGTCATTTTTATAGGTTATCTTTGTTTACAACATATTCAAACTGATTTTGTTAATACAGGGAAAGACTAAAAAAACTCGTAAAGTTGTAATGCAGAGGTTTGCACAGATGAAGAAGATGATCAGTCCCAGTGATTCAAGAATGTAAAAATATTTTAATATAAATATTTTTCTTTATAAAATTGTTTTAAAGCATTGTCATAAAAATGAATTTTTTTATTTATAGAAAACCAGAGCAGCGAGCAGCATCAAAGAGAACTAAGCCTGATGATCCATTTAAATTAAAGACTCATGAAGCGTAAGTATAATTTGTTTATTTTTAACTATCAGTATCATATATCTACGATACACCAAAAGCCAGCATCATATTTTTGTTACGGCAATAAATAGAAAAATTAAGTCATAAGCTGTGGTTAAAATATTTGCTTTATATATTTTCAGGCCTCAGCAATCTGCAGCATTATTCTTCCAATACAACATGCAATTAGGACCTCCATATCACATTTTAATAGATACAAATTTCATTAACTTTTCGGTTAAAAACAAATTAGATATTATAGAAAATATGATGGAATGTTTATATGCAAAGTGCATACCTTATATCACAGACTGCGTATTGGGAGAATTAGAGAAACTCGGTCAGAAATATAAAGTAGCTTTAAGGATTATAAAGGATCCCAGATTCGAAAGATTACCTTGTATGCACAAAGGAACCTATGCCGATGACTGTCTTGTTAATAGAGTGACGCAAGTAAGTTTACTAAATATATTTAACAAAATAAATTATATTATTTAATAGAATGAACGATATCTCATATAATATCATTTTAGCACAAATGTTATATTGTTGCAACCAATGACAAAGATTTAAAAAGAAGAATACGAAAGATACCTGGTGTACCGATAATGTATGTTTCTCAACATAGATATACTATTGAAAGAATGCCGGATGCTTATGGTGCACCTAAAAAGTGATACGCATTGATCCTGTAATTAATTTAATAAAACCAACATCTATACCTATTACTATTGGTATAATAAACGCTACTATATCATTAGTATCATTTATTAGAAAAATATTGTACAAAAATAAAATTTGTATATTTTGTTATAAAACAACGAATTCCATATAAATTCATGTAAAATATGGAAAGAAAAAGAAATTTGTTCGTGGAAGGTCGTGTACATAGATATTCGTTTTGTATGTTTTACGATCTACGATTGAGAAGAGTAAAAGGGAGAAGAGAAAGGAATGTGCTGTGTGACCGGAAAACGATATGTCTCTCATGTACTAGCAGGAGCCAAAGACAAATAGGGAGTATGTGTTACAGTTATTGTTCGGTGAAACAATAAAGCTGTAGCATGTACCGCCCACACGGTGTGCTGGGACTCGATAGAATTTTACTCTTTACTAGTACGATGCTGTGCCGTATATGGCAGAGAGACTAAAATAACGTTAGACGAAGTGGGCGCAAAAGCCCATTTCGTCTGACGAACAATTTCACGCGAATTTATTGTATATTATTAGTTATATTCTATTATTATTTTTATTAAGTATTGTTCAAAATTTATTATAAAGTCATTTTAAATAATATTATCGTGGGTTCTGAATAACTTCAAGGTTTAAGCAGAACACCCGGGTTCAAGTTGTCTTGAGTCAATCAAATCAACCGTTAAATTTTTTCAAGAATCCTACAATACCGACTTGCAATGAAATCGATTTCATAAAATCGATCTACGATATATCGATTATTATCGATTTATAGCGCTAAAATTAAATCTCTTAGAATTGTTCGTACAATGGATTTATCGAATTTTGTCAAGAATATAACTTTGTATTTGTACCGAAAGACAATGGTATAATTGATCGTTCCACTGTCAAATATTCTAAACGTCTAGGATATCTCAGAATAAATGTCAGGATTCCATTGACCTTCAAAAGGTTATAACCTTTCTAATCTAAGAGAGTAACAAATGGCATATACGCGTACGCACGTCGTAGACCATGGTGTTATACCAAAGGAAATATTAATCATGCGTGGTGTGCACACAAGCAGTTCAGTGTCTCTCTCTTCGTGTTTACACCCTCGCAAAATTATTTCTATCCGTATATAAATTCTATCCCCATTTAAGGTACAATACGATGCGAGAGATTCAACGTTCTAACAAGCGGATCTTTGTCCTTCTTGTTAGATTTATATTCCAACGACGATGACATTTCTACTATGTTATTATTATTATTATTACCGTGAAATTGTATTATGTCTTCATAAATTTCTAACACACTACGATTATACAAATTATATTACAGTTAAATTATAAATATTTTATTCATTTTTACGGTGGAGAACGAAGACGCCAAAAGAAAATATTTGAAAATAGGAAAAGGCGGGTAAATTTAAATTCAAAAATTTCAACGTGGAAATCGCCATCTGCATTTCATGCGGTTAACTTTAACAATTGGTACTTATCCGTCCTAGATAAAACTAATACAGTAGGTATAATCTAGGAAAGAGAAAGAGAGAGAAAGTATATTCTTGCGTAGGACATAAATCGGTTGACCTATCAAAGCGCCAATCGACATATATACGTAGGACTATATACTCTCTCGTACCCAGTAAACTAGATTAAAGGAAAAGACCAGATAACCAGCGCGACCGCACTCGCGAAAACGAGAAAGAACGAAGAAAACAGAAAGAGAAAGAGAAAGAGATAGAAGAGAGGAACGGTCGATCGCGGTAACGGATTAGTTATAAAAGTGGCTATAGCTCCACGGATGTATATCTGCAGCGCCGTGGGTCTGGACCCACAACTGGACCCTCATTACCCCTCTTCTTCCCTCTTCCTTTCTCTCTCTCTCTCATTCTCGTCGTCCTCCCTAAGCCGCGAATCCCTCCCGTCCTTTCCCGCTATTTCCCCTTCTTTCCGACGCATTATTCATCTCTTGTTCTCCATCCTCCTCCCTCTCCTTATTGGTACGGCTTACTATTCTCTATCTCTGTCTCTCTGTCTCTCTGTCTCTCTCTCTGTCTGTCTGTCTCTCTCTCTCTCTCTCTCTCTCACGCATTCTATCCGTGTATCTTTCTCTTTCTTTTTCTCTCTCTTCGAAGCAATATAATCTGTCCTTGTTGCACTCGGAGGTTGAACACTCGGCGGCCATCTTGCATACCTGAGCCTCCGCATTGCTCATTCCTCGAGGGCAAAAGGGAGAATATCTCAGCGAGAGGATGGCGGTGGTGGCGGCGGTGGCGGCAGCGGCAGCGGCAGCGCGGGATGTGCGAGACGAAACTATACTGGAGGATGAGGATAAGATGAGGTAGGTAGAGTAGGAAGAAGGGGGGAGAAAGAAGAAGTGGAAGATGTTGAGAAGGTGGTGGTGGTGGTGGTGGTGGTGGTGGCAGTGCTGCTGCTTTTGCTGAGAGTGGGGAGAGGGGCCTTACCTCGTGGTAGGGTAGAAAGAGCGAGAGAGAGAGAGTGAGTGAGAAGGTGGCGGGGAGACGAAGCGAGAAGAAAGAGAAAAAAGAGAGAAAGAGAGGGAGAAAGAGAGCAACGTTGAACACGATGGATCGGAGAGGGACGGCGTCAGGCCCAGCGAAGAATGCTTCTCTTGGCAGCGCCAAGGATCTGGGACCGGCTTAGTTCAGTCGAGTCAGGTCAGTCCTCGGGAAGGTGATATTCTTCGTCGCACGTTGAAGCCCTTGTGTACACGTACCTACATACGTTCTTCTTCTTTCTCAGCACACGTTTATCTACGTTCTTTTTCTTCCCTTTTTCTTTCTCTTTGCATTTTGTTTTTTTTTTTTTATATAAATATATATATATACATATATATATTTCTACTTTTTTTCACAAAACTTTGTCTTTTTTTCCTCTCTTACGTTTGTACAGTTATCACGAACGCGAGTGATTTTTTTTCACCCTGTTGAACTTATAATCGTTCGTTCGACCGAGGGTTAGTTATCGTGCTGTCGATCATATGTAGATCGTCCGCGAGTGATTTTGAATGATCGTTCGTTGGTTTGTCTTTGTTGTTTTTTTGGAGATCATTAACTTTTAACAAGGAACGAGCAGAAGTGGTGAGAAGTTGCGTAATATTTGCTTTGAGATTTGATGGAAGAGTGCCGTATCTCATTGAAATAGGTTACGCTTGCGTGTTCTTTGTGATGTGCCGGTCCATACCCGTTCCATGGGAAGCTGTCTTGGTATCTAAGTGACAAGGAATTTTTAACGATCAACCTGTTACTTCGTTCGTTCGTTCGTTCGTTCGTTCGTTCGTTAGTTAGTTCGTTCGTTCGTATTTGCTGTCTGTATTTTAAATACGTATCTCTCGTTTTACCTTTTTTGTGTGGCTTTACGCAAACGAAGTCAAGGTTGTAACCATGGTAAGAGACACGTTTCTAAGATCGACTATTTGACTTTGATGCGACATAATTTAGAATAAGATATACGCAGTTTATCGAGATTGTAACGAGACAGACCTTTTATAGGGAATGTCAAGCCAGTGGTCGTAATTTAATGGAAAAAATGACGGTAAAAGGAGATCCGATTGGTCTCTTCTAACGCGCATCTGCAAACGCGTTTTGCGAGGTGCGGCCCCGTGGGTCAGTGCCCCCACTATCGGCCGAAGTCTCTTCTTGTACTCGGTTAACTTTCGACCGGCGGATAAAAAGAAAGGTCCGGTCCGGCGAGAAAGGAAGAAGAGAAGAAGGAAGAAGAGGAACCGAAAAGAGACACCCACCCCCTTCGAAAGTACAACCTTAATCCAATTTCGAATAAAGAGTAAGAAGTGCCGGGGAAGGAATGTAATAAAAAATGCAGCTCGTTGCTGCAATCGATTGGAGATAAGAGCGCGTGCCGATTAAATGCTCCCCCAAAGAAGTGGTTGACAATGACGGAAGGAAAGTGATCGAATTATCGATGATGAAACTGAAAGAGACAATGAGGAAAAGGAACGACAGGTAGTAGCGGTGGATCGTAGATGATTTATGCCGACGAGTCGAGAAGAATTTGGCTAAGGAAGAAGGGTGCGCTGAGGTACCGAAGAGATGATCATAAGAAGATCGATGGTCCTAGCCTTGGTCCTGGGATTGTTGTTGGTGGACCAAAATGGCGGCCAGGCTAGCAACAACGAGATGCGCTCGTCGAGCAAATATTTTTTACAGAACCTACCTCAAAGAGTTACGCGGTTAGTTCCGCGTAGGTCACCGATGTTGCCGCAAGATAGTGCGACAATGGGATTGACGATGCAAAGTAGAGCGGTCGACACCAGAGTTACGCTCGAAGTTAAGGAGGGTGAACCGAAAGGTACCTTGGTTGGTCAGATACCGGTGAAGCCTGGCTTTACTTATAGATTTAATGAACCACCCCAAGAGTTTGTGCTCGATCCTAAGACCGGCAAGATAAGAACAGCTAAGGTATTGGACAGGGAAGCTCTCAGCACCGATAGATTCGACCTAGTCGTACTCTCCAGTCAACCGACCTATCCGATAGAAGTGAGAATTCTCGTATTGGACATCAACGACAACGATCCCGAATTTCCCGAATCTAGTATAGCCGTAAGTTTTTCCGAATCAGCTGTCGTCGGCACGAAATTGTTATTGGACGCTGCCACCGACAAGGATACTCCCGAAAACGGAGTGACAGATGATTATTTCATCGTCGATGGTAATAAGGATGAAAAATTTCGTTTGGAAGTTACGGGTAATCCGACCGGCGAGACTTCCTACCTTCATTTAGAAACTACGGGGAAATTGGATAGGGAACAAGTAGAATATTATTCTTTAAACATTTGTGCCAGAGATAAAGGACACCCGCCTAGATTAGGTTATCTTTTGGTTAACGTAACCGTCTTAGACGTTAACGACAATCCACCGATCTTTCAACAAAGCGATTACGTCGTTGCTCTGAACGAAAGTGCACCGGTTGGCACTAAAGTTCTTACCGTTCATGCCACCGACAAGGATTCCGAAGATAATTCGAAATTGACGTATTATTTGCCCGACACCGAGAGACAGTTCACGATAGATCCGGAAACGGGTACCATCACGACCGCGGAACCTTTGGATTGTCCCGAACAAAGCTGTGCGACAACGCGCCCAGGTGGAGGCTGTCCAAAGAGCTGCGTCATAACGGTCTTCGCTCGAGATCATGGATCGCCCAGACAAGACGGTCGTACCTACGTAACGGTTAATTTATTGGATGCGAACGATCACGATCCTGAAATCAAATTCAGTTATCTCACGTTAACTGCTGGTTATGCAACGGTCGATGAAAATGCTGCCAAGGAATCTCTAGTTGCTGCCATCGCTGTCATCGACAACGACGAAGGTCTCAACGGCGAGACCACCGTAGAGATTCGTGCTGGAAACGAACTGGGTCATTTCAGGCTGGACAACACGCAAAGTTTCGATATCGTTCGAGTTAATGGTAAATTGGATCGAGAAGAAATTCCAAAGTACAATCTAACAGTCGTTGCCACCGACAAAGGCACGCCACCGAGATCGGCGACGGCATATCTCGTGATTCATGTAAACGATGTCAACGATCATGAACCGGTCTTCCAGCAGAGCGAATATTCCGCGGTCTTGTCCGAGCTATCGCCGATCGGAAGCTTCGTCGCTAGCATCTCAGCCACGGACGCGGATTCTGGATTGAACGCAAGAATTTATTACGACTTTGAATCCGGCAACGAGCAGGGATGGTTCGCCATCGATCAAGATACCGGTTTGGTTACAACCATAGCGACTTTGGATAGAGAAATTCAAGGTAGTATCGAATTACACGTTTCCGCGAAAGACGGTGGACCAAATCCAAAGTACGCGTCGACTCACCTAAAAGTTACCATTCTGGATGAGAACGACGAGGCACCGAGATTCTCTCAAAATACCGTTTACGTCAGTTTGTCCGAAAATACTCCTCCGCAGAGCCTCGTTGCGACGTTAACAGCGGTGGACAACGATCAAGGTACCAATGGAAGTATCGCTTACAGTTTTCATTCGAGCGTTCTCAGAGATTATCCGAAGACTTTCGCATTGGATGCTCTAACGGGACAATTGACAACAAAAATCAGCTTAGATCGAGAATCCATAGCGGAATACAGTATATTGGTGATCGCTAAAGATCAAGGAACGCCTCCTCAATCATCGACAGCTACCGTTTTATTATCCTTGGAAGATGTCAATGATAATCCACCGGTGTTTTATCCCTGGAGATACTTGATGTCCGTGCCGGAGAGCGCACCAGTGGGTACTTCGGTTGGAAAAGTCATAGCAACGGATGCTGATGCTAGAGAAAACGCTCAAATTAGATACTCCTTAGAATCCGGCGGGGAAGGAATTTTTATCGTCGACGAAAGAACCGGTGAAATCACTTTGGAAGGTTCTTTAAGAGCCGCGCACAAAACGCTTTACGAATTAACGATCTCTGCCAAAGATACCGGGGATAAAGTTGCTTCTAGAAACGCCATGGTCGAGATTATACGCGAGGAAGATCTGGAACATCTCGAGTTCGACAGTTACAATGGTTACAACTTCCGCGTGATGGAGGATAGGGGCGAATGTAGTTCCATGCCATCTGGCTTTGGTAAGGAAGTTGGAACCGTACAAGTTACTCAGTACGGTAATTCTAAAGTAACTTACACCATTCTCTACGGCGATCCAAAAAGAAACTTCAAGATAGACGAGGTCACTGGGACGATCAGTACAGCTGGTTGTTTGGATAGAGAAAACGTAGGATTCTATAGTTTACAGTTAGCCGCCAGAGCCGGACTTGCCTACGGACAGACCCTTGTAAACATAACAGTCATCGACGTCAACGACAATCCACCAAAATTTCCTAAAGGCGAAGGCGGCGACGAAGTATACTTGAAAGAAAATGCTGCTGTAGGTCAAGAGGTTTATTTGGCGCGTGCCAAGGATCGTGACGCAGGTGCCAACGCCAGAATAGTTTATTCCTTGACTCACAATCCTGGAGAACAATTTCGAGTAGCCGAAAATTCGGGTATCATATATCTGGGAAAGTCAATAAGAGCACCGCCCGGTACGGTCTTAAATTTGGAAGTGACGGCAACGGACTCTGCCGTCCAATCGCTTTCTGCTCAACATCAAGTAAGAGTTATCATCGAAGATGTCAACGATCATACGCCTGTTTTCAAATTGACGAGTTACGAGACCTCGTTGTCCGAATTAACGCCGGTAAACGATCGTTTCTTTTCGCTTACCGCCACGGACATTGATCTTGGTGCTAACGGGAGAGTTTTATACAGCGTAACCGATGGAAACGCCGAAGGTCGTTTCGGAATTTTCCCGGACGGTCAACTTTACGTGAAGAACGTATTGGATCGCGAGGAACAAGATTATTATGCGTTGGAAGTGACTGCCAGCGATCAGGGTAGTCCATCGAGGAGTTCCGTAGTTCCGGTTGTCGTACACATTCTCGACGAGAACGACAATGCCCCGGAATTCACCAATTCGAGTTTTACTTTTCACTTGCGCGAAAACGAATTGCCAGACACGTTCGTCGGTAAATTATTAGCCACGGATCGCGACGTCGGTCGTAACGCCGATCTCATGTTTTCTTTGCCAATCAGCCAACAAGATTTCCTCGTGGATCCTAGAAATGGATTCATCAAGTCGTTACGCGTTTTCGACAGAGAACTTTTAGTCAGCAACACCGGCGCCAGTTACGTGACATTAGAGGCAACCGTTACGGACAACGGGGAAAATCGTTTGAGAGATCGCGTCAAAGTCACCATTTACATTACCGACGTAAATGACAATACGCCACAATTTCAGAGATTACCTTACAAAGTGCAAGTGAGCGAAGGGGCAGCTGTGGGTACTCAACTACTTCGAGTTTATACTACGGATGCTGACGAAGGTCTCAACGGAGATGTTTTCTACACTTTAGAAGCAGGCAATCAAAATGGAAATTTCATGATCGACGAAGCAACCGGACAGATTTCTCTCGTCCAACAGCTCGATCGCGAAGTTTCCAACAGTTATTTATTGACCGTAGTTGCGCACGATGCTGGATTAGAAACGCGTTTATCATCCAGCGCTACCGTATTCATAGACGTACTCGATGAAAACGACAATGTACCATTATTCGTAGATAACAAATCGAAAATTTCTATTCTCGAGACAACGGCAATTAATACGGAATTATTAAAATTCAAAGCGACCGATAACGATCTCGGACCCAACAGCGAATTGACCTTCGCCATATCCGCTGGCAACCGAAGGGATACTTTTTACATCGATCCCCTCAGCGGTACTTTGTATCTAAGGAAACCATTGGATTACGAGGAATTAGAGAAGTACGTGCTCAACATAACTTGCAGCGACGGTGGACACCCTAGACTCAGCTCGGTAATGACACTCGTAGTCGAGGTCATCGACACGAACGACAATCCTCCGGTATTCCCGAACACGGCTATCGTACGACAAATTCGCGAGGGAATACCGGTGCATATGCCGATAGTTACGATAACCGCGGAAGATCCGGATTCCGGGGAGAACGGTATGGTCAGTTATTCGATCGTCAGTCAGGATCCCGAGGATCAGTTTCGTCGTTTCGGTATAAATCCGTCAACCGGAGTGATTCATACGTTATTGCCGATCGATCGGGAGGACGTGGACACGTTTAAATTGGTGGTCGTTGCTACGGATAAGGCTCAACCGCCTAGCGCCAGATTATCGGCAGAAAAATTGGTCATAGTGATCGTAGAAGATATCAACGACAACGCACCGATTTTCGTTAGCATGTCGGCGGTAATTCTACCGTTGAAGGGTAACCCCAGTTATCAGGCACAAAAGGAAGTAGTGGTAACGCAGTTGGTCGCGAAGGACTTGGACTCGAGTACCAACGGGTTGGTCACTTACGAATTGCTCCGATCTAGCGTCAATTATTCGGACATGTTCCGCATACATCGTACCACGGGTTATCTAACGATGCGATTACCAAGATCAACGAGGAACTCTCTGGAACGCGTATCGAAATATCAAGTGGGTGTCAGGGCAACCGACGAGGCCGTCCAAGCGGAAAGAAGATCCTCCGAGACTTATCTGACCTTGATAATGCCTGGGGAGGATGGCGAGGATCAACCGATCTGGGAACATCGAGGTCAGCTCGAGGGTAGCGTGTACGAAAACGAACCGGTAGGGGCGAGTATTCTGAGAGTGAGTGCGCGTAGCCGCAGATCGAACATCGATCTCGAGTATTACGTGACGAACGTGACCGCTGGTAGCGGCGGTCCTCAGGTCGACAGATTGTTCGACGTCGACACGAAGACAGGTATACTCTCGACTGCTGCTGCTCTTGACAGGGAAACAGGAATCCAGTGGTACGAGGTGGAGCTCTACGCTATCGGAGTTGGCGGCACCAGGCCCATCACCGCGTCCACAAAAGTAAGTTACCTTTATCGAATGTTAAACGATACCACGAGTAGTAGCTACATACCGAAACTTATTTCCCAAAGGGGAATTTTCTTTCTCGATTATTTCCTCGAAAGAACGATATATATTTGAACTTAATCATTTACTTTCAAACATACGCGCAATCGAATACACAATTTCAACAGGGGCAAATTGCATTTATTCCGGATACAAAAAATACGCGAAACATCGAATTTAACTGAACATTCGTATTAATTTTAGAAAATTAAAAGTGCACACGTTATATCATTATTAAATATATTACACGTGTATATAATAATTATCTCATTAATAATATAGGTTTATGCGCGCATGAAACATTTGAAATATTGTTCCGAAATTAATCATATTTCACGTTTTATCGGTTCATACATACACATACTTATATATACGCGTTCGATTACGAACGCCTCGGCTTGTAGAAATACGATAAATATAAATTCGATCGGGAAGTATGTTACGTAACAATTGGGCCTAACATAATTAGAGAGCGAGCGATAAAGAGCAAGGGAGAAGAATTCGCGAGGCGAGAGACCACGAAGGACAATGTGCGAGGGTGGGAGGGAGATAGGTAGGTGGGTAAAAGGACGGGGGGAGAGATCAAGGAACGTAAAAGAGAGTGAGAGAGAGAAATGGAAGGTGATGTGGAGCGAGGAGAAGGAAGGAAGGAATAAGAGAGAGAGAAAGTAAGAAAGAGAGAGAGAGAGAGAGAGATGGTTCACGCGAGAGTCCGATGAGAAGTGGAAGGAGCCCAGCAGCAGTCAGCGAAAGAGAAAGAGAAAAAGGGAGTCGACGGAAAGAGAGAGCGAGAAAGAGAGAGAGGGGTGGGAGAGAATAAACGACAAGATGAACCGCGTGCCAGGAAATCAACTTGGATTCGAGTTGGGGCCCCTGCCTGCCTCGCTCCGGAGGTACAGAACTGGAGAAAAACTTGATCTCGGACGAACGCATACAAACACCCGAGATAGTCTTAACGTAGGAAGAGAGAAGCTGAGAGAGCTGCTGCTGTTGCTGGTGGTGCTGGTGCTGGTGCTGATGCTGGTGCTGGTGCTGGTGCCTGTCTTCTTCTACTTCGATGCCATTGCTGCTTCATTTCTGAAGATTCTTTCTCTCTTTCTCTCTTTCTATAGTTCGTATCTTTCCCATCTTACCAACCGTTTCGATACCTCCCGCCTTTATCCTCTGCTCCTGCTGTCTCTTTCTTTCTTTATTTCTTTTCTTTCTCTAAATCTTTCTCTTTCTTTCCTTTATCGTTCGCTGTTGGGATCCGTGACTCTGTTCGGGAAGCAACTGCAGTTTCGACGTTTTTGTCGCGGGCCACTCTCTTCGGTGTTTCGTCGATCCTTCTGGTTCGGCATTCTACTCTCCCGCACGTATAAACCCTCCTCCTCCTCTTTGCCCCCGCCCTTTTTCTTTTCTTCATCCGATCGAGACCCGCTAAGAGTCCCATCTCTTTTCGTTTGTCCATTTTTTCTCTCTCTTTTTTTTTTTTTTATTTTTTTGCTTTTTACGTTTCTGACTTTTCTCAATCCTTTTTCTCTTTTTTCGTTCCGTTTTTTTTTGGGTCAGCTTAATACTCGAGGATGTGTAAAATTTACTATAATATGTTCAAGTATTTCTAGATACGAACGGCTTTTAAATTATAGATTTGAATCTTGGAAGTTGTGGAGATTTTAATAAATGTTCGAGGGAAAAAAATATAAAAAGGATTAATAATATCTTATATATTTTGTGTGTAGATTATTTTGATGGACAATTAGAGAAGAAGAGGGTTAAAACGTTATAATTAATAATACCGTTCGGGGAGGAAATGGCGAGGGTATGCGAGTATTACAAAACGTCGTATTATTCCAATTAGTGTGAGCCAGGAAGTATTCGTCTCTAAGCAAATAACTATCGTAAGTTGGTACGATTAATGCAAATTTTCGAGTCATTCCGAAAGCGACGTTGGGTCCGTAAAGTTAGACTACCGACTCCACTTATAATATATTCCATGGTTTCTCTGTTATATATACACACACACACATACATGTATACATACGTAAACGAGTTCAGTGATCGCGAAACATTTTCAGTACGATCACTCGCATATATGAAATAAAGACGTTTGTAAAATACCTTCTATCGTGCAGCTTATTATCTCACTCTCGTGGAATGTCTAACTTGGGTAAGCAGAACATTTGATTTAAGAAGGTTGCCTTAACGTGATCTTGATGTACGTTCGTGTGTTGCTCCAATCGAGAATAAGAGAGAGAAAGAGAGAGAGAGAGAGAGAGAGGGAGAGAGAGAGAGAGAGAGAGAGAGAGAGAGAAAGAAAGAAAGAAAGAAAGAATCCACACGTATAGAAAGGTATACCTACGTGAGTGTAGAACGGGCTGTACGTGTTAGTGTGTTTGCGAGTGAACGCAAGCGCGTGCATGGGTGGGTCCTGGGCTCGTGCGAAACGTAGGCGTAATGTACATACACATTTCTTTCTTCCCTTTATTCTTTTTCTTTTTTTTTCTTTTTCTTCTTCTTCTTTCCTTTTCTTTTTTTTAAATCTTTCCTTTTCGCGCGCGCGTGTGCGTACCTTTTTTCTATCTTCTCTTTTATCCAGATATATATATAGTATATGTGTTATAGATACCCACTAATATACACGCGAGAGAAGCTAATAATAGGTGATAATAATTATGTTGGTTGAGATATCCGATGATTAATAATACTCTCGTTTATGCGAGTTAGATCTTTCCGACTAAAATACACGACTCCCTCGCATATTTGCCTTGTTCTTTTTTCTTTTCATATAATTTTACAATTTTATTATGTTTTTTATTTATTTAATGCGTGTGCCTGTTTTTTATTGGTTTTTATTTGTTTGTTTATTTGTTTTGTTTTTTCTGTTAACCAAATGCGCCATTGTGTTACCGAGATGTCGATAGTTCGTTCGAACACGAATTTAAATAAATAGATATCGTTTGCTTTCTCTAGCACGCGCTCTATTGCGAATGAACGTTTCTATTCTAATAGATAAATCAATCTTTCTGTTGGTAGTAGCAGCGCGTGTGTTGTCGACTATCTTTCTTTCTTTCTTGCTTTCTCTCTCTCTCTCTCTCTCTCTCTCTCTCTCTCTCTCTCTTTCTCTCTTTCTCTCTCTCTCTCTCTCTCTCTCACTCTCTCTCTCTCTCTTTGTTGGAAAACGTTTGGATTATTACTACGGCTTGGAAATACCGTATATATTATTCACGTTTAACGTCTGTCGCATTGAAATGTGTGTCAGTATTTGAACAACGTCCAATTGAAATCGTTTAGATGGCCGTCTTGAAATTATATTTATACCATTCCTATCGTTTTCTTTTTCTATCTTGTTAGTTCAGAATCGATATGGTTAATACACGTGTAGACAGATCGATGTGTGATGTGAGAACAATCCTTATGTAACCCTAATGAGAAGCAACGAGATAAGAAGTCAAGCTCTCTCGTGTGCGTTCATGTTCTTGCTATAGTTGCACGAGTTACATTTCAAGAAAATGCACGGAGTTGTGTAATAATTAATTATAACAGGTCACCGCGCACTTCGTGCCAATCTGGATCCATGCATACCTCTCTGTGTGTATGTGTATGTGTATGTGTATATAGTGTAAACGTACCTTATGCTAAAACCTATTTACCTCAGGTACGAACGTCCGGTTGAACCCTTCCTCCTATTCCTTCTACATCATCTATAAATCACTTTGAATATTGTTTTGTTTTTTTTTATCTAAACATTTCCATGCTTATTTTCAAATTTGCCGACAATTTTATTTCTCAACTTATTGCAATGTTTTTTTTCTCTGTTTTTTTCCCCTTTCTCTTTGCTTCGTTTTCAGTGTTTGTTATTTTTTTTTTTTTAATATATTATTTACGATCGAATACATCGTAAATGTGCATCGATTTATAAATCACTTCGGATACCTAATGTCTATCTAGTTTTAGATTGATTCGATTTACAATACTTGACGAGTAGAAAAGTGGACGTCTGTTGCACTGTCTCTTAAAGAACAAAAAGAAGAAAAAGACAAAAAAATATTCATCGACAAGGCGTTTCTAGTTTCTCTGCTTGTTTTGCATAACATTAGCATTAAATTCGATAGTCGTGAATACAGAGTCGGACTTTAATCTAATTATTTACGATAGTAACTTAATCTCCGGATATCTAAATCTAAATGTTGATGTAACATATCTCCCCCTTTCCAAAAAACAAAAAAAAACAAAAAAATCACTCGATTTTTATCCACGTACGATATTTTTCCCCTATATTGTTCCAAAAATATATGACACAAGTTAAAATATAATATAATAATAAAATAAAGGAATAGATTGTGAGTGGCACCTTTAATGCGACGCTAATCTTCTCTACTTGCTCATCATCATCATCATCATCATCATCATCATCATCATCATCATCATCATTCTCCTCGTTGGTAGTTATTCTTATTGTTGTTGTTTGTTTCGAACGTGTATCCCCAAGTAGTAAAAGTTCTCTTTCTCTTGACTCGTTTGTTCATCTTTGTCGGAATCACAATCGTCATCCTCGCCATTTTTCAACGTCTTTTTTAGAAGGAGTACCGGAAAGAATTGAGAACGAGCTAGACTGGAAGGGGGCTACCGAGGAGGAAGTTGGAGTGAAGTGGGTTGGGATTGGGGAGGAGGGTTAAGTGGGGAGGGATTGAAAGACGAGGTGGGAGGAGGAGGAGGAGGAGGAAAGATATCAAATCTGTGGGCGTGTGGTGAACGATAACGAGAAGAAGAAGGGACTCGTGGAAAAGACCGAAATAATTTCTCTGCTCATTCGGTATCGCGCGACAGATAAGACACTCGGCTAAAAGGCCGTCCCCCCGGTGATTTGTGCCTCGACCAAATATTTCTCTCAACGATTCTACTTCTTCTTATGGGGTAGTGAAGAGTAGGGAAGAGAAAGGAGACGAGAGGAAAAGAGAAGAGAAGAGAAGAGA